GGGAAATGCAGTCCACGGGTCACAGATTGCCGCGGGGAGCGCTGGGAAGTGGAATCTCCAGCAAGAGGAGGTTGCTAAGGGCAACGTTCCAGCTTCTAGCTGCCCCCAGGCAGACTGGGAAATCCGCTAGTCTCAGGGGTCACATGGAAATCTAACGGAGGGGATGCCCCGAGGGACACTGGGAAATGGAGTTTGTCGGTCGGAGGTGTGACCCCCCCCCTCACCTCCCACGGCATGCTGGGAAATGTAGTTGACTATCTCAGGGACGGGACCTGGTAGGAAAAGGGAGTCTGCAGCCCGGAAGTCCTAAAAATATAAAGATGATTTTTTCCTTATCAGCTTTCCTCATATCATCGAACTGATGTATTTTGGGGCTGTCTGCTCCCTTCAACCAGAAATAAGCTACAGGAGGACAGCGAATTTGGCTTCTGCGTGCAGTCCTTGTTCCCAGAGCCCAGAACCACGCCTAATAGTAATTGAAAATAGTTTCTAAATGAATAAGGGGATTCCCTAGGTCCTGAAAAACTTAAGGGCACCATGGGAAATTGAGTCCGCAAACCCTAAGACTAAGTCATTAAAGGCAATGCATGTCCAAGCCTCCCTGGCTGGCCGCCCACGGCATGCTGGGAAATTCACTTTTTTGGCACAAAGTTCACAGCAATGGGCCAACAGCCTAGGCGCCTGCTGGGAAATGTAGTCCGCATGGCCACGCCCCTAAACGCTCAGTTGGTACCACCCCAAGAAATCAGGCTCATTGGCAAGAGAAGTCCAAAGCCCCTGATGATAATTCCTGGATCGTATGGGAGAGAAAGGAACCCAAGAGGAGGAGTCTCCGATGAGCACCCACAGAACCTATTGGCTCTTGCTTCCCTTGGTCTCACCCTGGGTCGTGAAGCACGCTGGGAAATGTAGTCCAGTCCCTACACACCCCTGCAAGCCATGCTGGGATTTGTAGTTCAGGGCGAATGGTCTCATACCTAGCACTATGAAGCACAAAATAATCCTCACCTTAAGTATTCTCCACGTAAGTCCAAATTGAGAGAGAAATGCAGTCACTCTGAGACCAGAATAAAGACACATAGAAAGGGGCTGAGGCCTGGCCGGTTTGGCTCAGTGGATAGAGCGTCCGCCTGAGGACTGAAGGGTCCCAGGTTTGATTCCGGTCAAGGAGGCAGCTGATCAATGTTTCTAACTCTCTATCCCTCTCCCTTCCTCTCTGTAAAACATCAATAAAATATATATTTTCTTAAAAAAGAATTCCAGCTGTGGCTTAGGCAGTCCTGAGTTGGAGCCTCGTCTCGCCCCCACTCCCAGCTCTGGGACCTGGCCCAGGCTCGCCATCTCTGAATCTGGACAGAAGCAACAGACTCTACCCACTCTCAAGTCCTTGGGCCGGTGCAAAGAAATAAACTACAAATCCCATGAGGCTTTGGGAGGAGGACCAGCCATAGATACAAAGGGATGCCAGTCTCAATGTTTCTTGGGATATGTAGTCCTCAACCCCATTCTTCTCACGCATCTACCTATCAACCTCCTTAGACGGTAAATCAGGTTGCTAGGCGTGTCTCCATGCCTATGCATTCTGTGACACGCTATAATCGTGTGCAATTGCAATTGTGTGTGTGGCTGAGTGGGTGCCTCTGCTTACGGTGTCCATAAGTTTGGTGTACAATCCATCTGCATTTCTGTGTGACTGTGACCATTTGTTTGTGGCAGACACAATTTGAGGTATCTGCTCAACCCACAGAAGGATCTGCAGGATGCACTCCCACCATAAGCTCTCTCGGCAATTTTTTTTTTAATATATATTTTATTGATATTTTAGTTGTCGAGGCAGCGGGTGTGCAGTGTCTGATAGGTGCAAGACGTTGGCTGTGTGCAGGCATTTTCAGACTCCACTCCTTAAATTCTCTTCTACCCTGAGTCCTGTTTTCTCTCAGTGCTAACCCTGGAGTATCGATGCTAACCTCGGAGCTGCAGGCCCTCCTCACTGCTGGTGAAAATAACCTCAATGGTTTCAAATAATAATGATGATGATGATGATGATGATGATGATGATGTTCCCATCCGGCTGTTGTGACTCAGTGGTTGAGCGTCAGCCCATAAACCAGGAGGTCATGGCTCAATTCAAGTCAGGGCACAGGCCCGGGTTTCAGGCTCAATCCCCAGGGAGGGTGAGGGGGGCCGTGCAGGAGGCAGCCCATCGATGTTCCTCTCTCATTGATGTTTCTATCTCTCTCCCCCTTTCCCTTCTTCTCTCTAAAATCAATTAATATATATATATATATTGGCCCTAGCCAGTTTGGCTCAATGGATAGAGTATTGGCCTGAGGATTGAAGGGTCCCAGGTTCGATTCCGGCCAAGGGCATGTACCTTGGTTGCAGGCACATGTGAGAGGGAAGTGCGCGGTGAGACGCAGGGCTGGCCGCTGGGGAGGCTGGTGGAGCGCTGACTGTCCCGGCCAACGCAGGCTGCTCAGACTCAGACAAACACACCGTCCACTGCGTGGCTCATCCACCAGCGAGTCCATCTCCCAGCTGCTGGAGTCTGGACGCCTGAGAGCGGATGCCAGCATGGGGGGCTCAGGTGAGAGCCCGCCTCCTGGCTTGTAGGCAGTCACCTTCTCGCTGTGTCCTCACATGGTGGAGAGAACGCTCTGGTCTCTTCATCTACTTCTCAAAAACCCTAGTCCGGTCCATGTGGCTCCGTGGTTGAGCATCGACCTATGAACCAGGAGGTCATGGCTTCTTGATTCCCAGTCAGGGCACATGCCCGGGTTGCAGGCTCCATCCCCAGTAGGGGGCGTGCAGGAGGCAGCCGATCCATGATTCTCTCTCATCATTGATGTTTCTCTCTCCCTCCCTCTCCCATCCTCTCTGAGATCAATAAAAATATATATTAAAAAATAAAAAACCTTAATCCCATCTTAGGGGCTCCACCCTCAGGACCTCATCTAATCCTAGTCACCTCCGAGGGGCCCCACCTTCAAACACCATTCATGGGGGCGGGGCAGGGCTTCAACATATGGATTTGGGGGGACACAAACCTTTAGTCCATAACACTTACCCCTGGACAAACGCAACACCCTAGAAATGTAGTCTCAGAATGAAGGGGATAGCCTGGCTGCATGCCTCAGTTGGCTGGAGTGTCATCCCGTACACCAAAGGGTTGTGGGTTCGATTCCCGGTCAGGGCACATGCTGGGGTTGCGGGCTCGATCCCCAGTGTGGGGCCCGCAGGAGGCAACCGGTCAATGATTCTCTCTCATCATGGATGTTTCTCTCTCCCTCCCTCTCCCTTCCTCTCTGAAATCAACACAAACATATTTAAAATAACAATAATAATAATAACAACGACCTCAGCAGGTGCCCGCGGGCGGAGCCTTTATTTCAGGACACAGATGGGGGGACAAGAACTCCAGGGGCTCCGATGCCTCGGGGTGGCCCCCCATCCTCACTTCCAGCGGCCTCCAAGGCGGCCCTTCGCTGCCCCCTTCCGGCTGCGGGAGAAGGAGGGGGTGTCAGGAGGGAGGGCTCCTCAGACCTCTGAGATGGGACGCCCAAGAGGCCCGCCCTCCACGCCCAGTGGAAGAGGCGGGCGAGTGCGCTCTCATTGGGGTTCACTGGCTGGGGCGGTGGAGTTCATGCTCAAAGACCCCAGTGTCACGTGGGGTGGGTATCTGTGCTGAGTTGCGGTGCTGGGGGGGTGCTTTTGGGGGCCACGTCCATGACTGGGGGCCGGGTATCTGCTCTGGGGTCCTGTCCTGGGCCCTGGAGGGTGTAGAGTAGCCTCCAGGGCCTCCGCCCAGGGGAGGCCAGGAGCACCGGGCAGGGGGCACGGCCAAAAGCCAGCCGGCCTTTGCCCGACGTCCCCTGGGCGGCAAGGTCACCCCCATCCTTGAGAACCAGTGACTTAGAGGGACATGGCCCTGCCCGGTGTGGCTCAGTGGATAGAGCGTCGGCCTGCGGACTGAAGGGTCCCGGGTTCCATTCTGGTCAAGGGCACATGCCTGGGTTATGGGCTCGATCCCCAGTGGGGGGCGTGCAGGAGGCAGCCAATCAATGATTCTCTCTCATCATTGATGTTTCTCTCTCTCTCTCTCTCTCTCCCTTCCTCCTGAAATCAATTAAAAGAAAAAAAATACGGGGACATGGAGATGGTGATGGAGGCCCCAGAGAGAGAAGTGACAGGAGACGAGGGACAAAGCCAGAGGAGGGGGCGGAGGGCAAGAGGGAGCGCAGGCGTGGGGCTCAGTCACACTTACAACTTCTGGGCGTGGCTGATGCGATTGTAGAGCAGGTTGATCTGTGGAGGGAGGGAGAGAGGGTGATGCTGGGACAGCGGGGGACAGGTCTGTCCACCTGCCCGTCCACCCGCAAAAAAAAGCCCCAGGCCCCAGGCCAGCGAGGTCTCACCTCGTACTTCTGCTGCTTCATCTTCTCCATCAGGTCAAACTTCTCCGACTCCAGCTGGTGGATCCAGTCGGACAGTTCCTGGGCCTTGGCCCTGGGGGTGCAGATGGGGGTCAGGACGGGGCCAGGTCACGCCCTGGATCAGAGAGGGCGAGGGACTGTCCGCAGCCACACAGCACGACTCGGGATGTGGCATTCGTTTTGCCGTTGCGGTAACATTTGAGGGGGAGATACTCAACGTGAATCGAAGCAAAGGGTTTGAAAATCTCAGCCCGCTCTCTCCCGGCCCGGAATGGAGACTCAGTCCCCTAATTCAGTGGTTCTCAACCTTCTTAATGCCGCGACCCTTTCATACAGTTCCTCATGTTGTGGGGACCCCCAACCATAACATTATTTCCGTGGCTACTTCTTCACTGTCATGTTGCTACTGTGATGAATCGTCATGTAAATATCTGCTATGCAGGATGTATTTCCATTGTTACAAATTGAACGTAATGAAAGCATCTGATTAATCACAAAAACAATATGTAATTATATATGTGTTTTCCAATGGTCTTGGGCGACCCCTGTGAAAGGGCCGTTCGATCCCCAAAGGGGTCGCGACCCACAGGTTGAGAACCGCTGCCCTAAAGTGAGAATGAGGTCATGGTGAGGGACCCGGGCTCTGAAGTGGCCCAGCCCAGCGGGCGTGGCTCAGGGGTTGAGCATTAACCTATGAACCAAGAGGTCTGGTCAGGGCACAGGCCCGGGGTGTGGGCTGGATCCCCAGTGTGGGGCTTGCAGGAGGCGGCCGATCAATGATTCTCTCTCATCATTGGTGTTTCTGTCCCTCTCCCTTCCTCTCTGAAATCAATCTATCAATCTATCTATCTATCTATATGTATGTATGTATGTATTTAAATGTAGTAATAAAACTGGGAAAGAGCTCTGGCCAGTTTGGCTCAATGGTTGGAGCGTTCCAGTCCAGGGCAAGTACCTCGGCTGCAGGCTGCACCCCCAGCCCTAGTGTGGGTGCGAGCAGGAGGTATACTTTTATTGATTTACAGAAGAGAAGACGGAGAGGGATAGAAGCATTGATGAGAAAGAATCATTGATCAGCTGCCTCCTGCACGACCCCTAATGGGGATCCAGCCTGCAACCTGGGCATGTGCCCTGACCGGAATTGAACTAGGGGCCTCTTGGTTCTTGGGCCGATGTTAAACCAATGAGCCACACTGGCCGGGTGCCAAATTTATTCTTTTTTAAAATATATATATATTTTTATTGATTTCAGAGAGGAAGGGAGAGGGAGAGAGAGATAGAAACATCAATGATGAGAGAGAATCATTTATCGGTTGCCTCCTGCACAATCCCTACTAGCGACATGTTTCACAGAGGAGGCTACAGGGGCCCAGAGAGGGGGAGACACTGGCCCAAAGCCACAGAGCACCCGGCGTCTGCGACCCGGATCTGGAGGAGGGTCCCTGGCTCCCTGTCTCACACCCAGGCCTCCCCACCTACCGGAGCTGCTCCTCGCCCAAGTGGTCAATGTCCAGAGGCTTCTTCCGCTCAGACAGGATGCGAAGCTTCATCTCCCGCCCCGTCTGGCGCTTCCCCCGCTTTTGTTCTGCCTGAGGATTGGGGAGGGGACGCCTTGGGTTGGGGTATGAATCCTCCAGATGGCTCCCCACGTCAGCACCCAGGGGCCCGGGATCCAGGCCGCCATCTCCCCCAGGACCTCAGGCATCCAGGCCCCCAGCCTCCTCCCTCAGACCCAGGAGGCCAGGCCCCCAGCCTCCTCCCTCAGCCCCAGGAGTCCAGGCCCCCAGCCCTCCTCCCTCGGATCAGACCCAGGGGTCCAGGCCCCCAGCCCCTCCTCCCTCAGACCCAGGAGTCCAGGCCCCCAGCCCCTCCTCCCTCAGACCCAGGAGCCCAGGCCCCCAGCCCCTCCTCCCTCAGACCCAGGAGCCCAGGCCCCCAACCCTCCTCCCTCAGACCCAGGAGTCCAGGCCCCCAGCCCCTCCTCCCTCTGGCCCAGGAGGGGGTCCCCCAGCCCCTCCCTCAGTCACCTCCTCCCTGGGAGCCCAGACCTCAGGCCGCAGGCAGCTGAGCTCACCTTGACCAGGTAGCCCCCAAAATGGGCCCCCATGTTGGACAGGACCTTCTTCTTCTTAGCATCATCCTCAGCCCGCTTCTTGGCCTCCTCCTCTTCCTTCCGCATTTTCTCCTCCTGCGGGAAAAGGGGTTCAACCCTGAGGCCTGACCTTCCCCCTTTGCTCCTGGCCCCTCCCTCCCTCGTCAAATATCCCCGACCCTTCTGACTCCCTCCCATCAGCACCCCAATGAGGGCACTGAGCCCACCCGGATCACCCGAGACCAACTCCCGGTCTCCAGACCCTCAGCCACATCTGCAAAGTCCCTTTTCCCGCGGAAGGTCCCAGGAATCAGGGTGCGAGCTGCTTGCGGACACCCTTATTCTGCCCCCCACACCACCCTACTCCCGGTCCTTAAAAGTGGTCCTAGCGGGCGCTTCCTGGATGCCGCCACAGATCGCGGTTCCACGGCCTGAAGCCATGGGCACGTTCCAAACACTCTGACCAGTTAGGGACAGGGGACCACTCCAGTGTGCCTGGGACAGACGGGATGCAGGATTATCAGGGCTCAGACCAGGGAAGCTCCCCGCAAGCAGGGGTGAGCTGGTCACTGAGACATCCACCGAAAGATGGGAAAAGAAATACTGGGTCTTTACGACGGTACTAGAGGCCCAGCGCACGAAATTCGTGCATGGGGAGGGTCCCTAGGCCTGGCCTGCAATCTGGGCCCATCTCCCTGCCCCCCACCGTCGCCTGTGTTGGGGGCGACTGGCAGGGCAATCAGGCCCCAGCACCGCCTGCAACCGCTGCCACCCACCCCCGGTTCCCGGTTCCCCATTGGGCAATTGGGACCTGTGGGCTGGGGGCAGCTCCTGCTTTAAGCGTCTGCCCCCTGGTGGTCAGTGCGCATCATAGCTGACCAGTCGCTCCCCGCCGGGTTGATTTGCATATTATGCATAGATAGATAGATAGATAGATAGATAGATTTGTTTGAGTTGCTTGATCCAGCCATGCCTGGAGCAGGCTTGCCCTAGACTTTTGTTTGACAGGAGCCAATAAAACTTTCTTCCTGCTAAACCCGCCTGGGTTGGGGTTCCTGTTCCTTCCACCTGAAAGGTCCCTGAGTAACACAGCGCGAGGACCTTTGGGGGACCCCAGAGAATATCATGAATGGAAACTGGAGAGCCCAGCTCAGCGCAAGAAGGAACATTGGGCCTCCCCCAGGGAGGCACCCACCGCCAGCCGGGCCTGCCGCTCCCGCTCCTTCTCGGTCCTGAAGCGCTGCTGCTGCGCTCGCTCCGCCCGGCGCCGCTCCTGGGGGGCGGAGAAGAATGAGGGGGTGCAGGCGCCACCACCCACCCGCGACCCCCCCACCCCACAGTCAAGGTCCAGGGCAAAAAAAAAAAAAAGTGCACACGTTTGCGTGTGGCCAGACGTGGGTCCATTTCCTAATGTTTCGGCCTCGGGACGGCATTGGACAGGACCTGTTCCCCGTTATCCCCCCAAGACCCAGAGGATGGCACCACCGGCGGGGGGAGGGAGGACTGGGGGGAGCCCCACCGCCACCCCACTCACAATGCGGTCTTTCAGCGCAATGAGCTCCTCCTCCTCCTTCTTCCGCTGCTCGAAGTGCACGTCGATGAGCGTCTGCAGCTCCAACAGGTCTTTCTCCATGCGCTTCCGGTGGATGTCCTGCAGGACGGGGCGTGGGAGCCCCATCATTCCCGTGGGAGCCCCATCATTCCCTAGGGGCCCCATCATCCGCGGGCAGCGCCCCTGAGGCCCAAGTGGGGCGCCCTTCCCCGCAGGAATCCGCGGGGTTGACAGTTCACAAAATGCCCAGCAGGTGGCAGCAAAGCACCGTGTTCGGACCCTACTTAGCTTTTTTTTCTTTTTTTCTTTTTTTTTTTTTCTAATTTGCATTAAGGCCGCCTAAGGGTTTGCAGCTGCTGGAAGGCGGAGCGGGGGAGGGGGGGTTACTTACATCGAAGTCCACGCGTTCCCCTTCCGGGATCTTTGGGGGGATCAGTGGAGGTACCACAGGGCGGCTGGGGGCACGGGGAAGAAGAGGAAGACAGTGAGGGTTTGGGGGTCCCGGATACTCCCCGCCACCAGCTATCCGGGTTCTGGGCACTGGCGAGGTGCCTGGTCCCAATCCCAGGGACTGTCAGGGAAACGCACATCTGATTTCCAGGACTTGCTACAAACAAACTACTCTCACGTGTTATGTTAATTACATGTTGCAATGATGAAATGTCACCGGTCACAGGTTGAATAAATATGATATTGAGATTAGCTGGGCCGGTGTGGCTCAGTGGTTGAGCGGCCCCCTGTGCGCCAGGAGGTGCCGGGTTCGATTCCCGGTCAGGGCAGCTGTCGGGGTTGCAGGTCCATGATTCTCTCTCTCTTTTTAAAAAATATATATTTTATTGATTTTTTACAGAGAAGAAGGGAGAGGGAATAGAGAGTTAGAAACATCCATCAGCTGCCTCCTGCACGCCCCCCACTGGGGATGTGCCCGCAACCCAGGTACATGTCCTTGACCGGAATCGAACCTGGAACCCTTCAGTCCGCAGGCTGACGCTCTATCCACTGAGCCACACCGGTTAGGACCACGATTTCCTCTTATCATTGATGTTTCTCTCCATCTCCCTCCTCTCTGAAATCAACAAGAATATTTCTGGGAGGAGGAAAAAGATTAGTTCTATGTGTTTTGTCTTACTTTGTAAAATGCGGCTCGTAAAAATATTTTCAAATAGATTTTATTGATTTGAGAGAGAGAGGGAGATAGAAACATCAATGATGAGAGGAAATCATTGATCGGCTGCCTCCTGCACGCCCCCTACTGGGGATCGAGCCCGCAACCAGGCATGTGCCCTTGATTGGAATTAAACCTGGGACCTTTCAGTCCGGGGGCTGACACTCTAGCCACTGAGCCAAACAGGCTAGGGACAAGCGTTGTTTATTGTTACACTGTCCACATACATGCAGAGCTTGCATTATATTTGTATTGGGCGGGGCTGCAGGGGTGCGGTCAGCCCTCCCTCCTCTCTCTCTCTCTCTCTCTCTCTTCCCTCCCACCCTATCCGTGAAGGTGGGCGACATACTCAGGAAGATGTGATTGGGGGACACACACACACCCCGCTAGGATCTCACCTTGGTTTGGGGCGCTCCTCCTCTGGTGAAAGGATGCAAAGAGAGAATTAGCCAGAGCCCATGGGGGGCTGAGGAGGGAACCCCCAAGCCATGCCCCCCTCCGGGAGCCCAGTTCCCTCCTCCAGCCGCTCTGGGG